ACTGACAAAACCATGCTGGAGTATTTGCTGCTCAACAGATCCTGAGCTCACTGACAAATATCTGATCTTGTAAGATGTGCTCCTTTTACACAGAGTGCGTGTGATCGCAAAATCGAAAGTGAAAGTAAACTGCGCAAACGCTCATTCAAAAGAGATTTAAATACTCCGCATACTGAGAACGGCTCCCTGATGTGCCAAAATTATACACAATATTAGAATGTTTAAAGGAGGGGACATGAAAATCGCGGGAGCGAAACATGTTGCGGGAGCACACGGCAATGGTCAGAGATTCAGCGGGAGCGGGATTAAGAAAACAGCCGAATCCCGGACATTTTGGGCGATTAAGAAATCCCGGCCGGACGCATTTTTTTAGGTCCAAAAAAATGCAGTACCTAAAATGCAGTCTTGGTGACTTATTTTAAAAGCAATAAAAATCTAAATTATTACTGGCAGTGTATGAAAATACAGATATGTTGACGTGAGTCATGTTTTAGAGTTTGCAGTGGTGTAAAGAGTGATATTTTGATATTCAAGGCTCAGCAGTGCTATTAGGGATCCGCATATGAATCCGTAGGGATTCGGTACGGTGCGATGGGTAAACCTCTGTGTGTGGTGACCTGCGCGAGGCCAGCGGCAGCCAAGGATCCCGTCACGGGATGTGAGTGTGTCACGCTTCATTCATTTGCCAGCGTTTGATGCTATTTGTTGTGTTGTTTGGCTGACGCTCAGATAGAGGCTGGATTGGGTGGATCTGTGCTCAGACAGATGGCTGAGCACTGGTCACGTGTGCTAATGTTGTCCTTTTCTGTGTTTATTGTGTGTGTCTGGCGTTTTCTCTCGGTCCACGCCAGTCGATGCTGATGAGATTAAAAGGCTGGGAAAGAGGTTTAAGAAACTCGACCTAGATAACTCCGGATCCCTCAGCGTGGAGGAGTTCATGTCCTTGCCCGAGTTACAGCAGAATCCACTGGTGCAGAGAGTCATCGAGATATTCGACACGGACGGCAACGGAGAGGTGGACTTCAAAGGTGAGGAAACCACACGCATTGTTTATTTGAAAGCGGAAATCTTTCGTTAAATGTATCTCATGATAACAAGAGCGAGTCACATTTCACCGCAGAATCACCCTGTTTTAGGACCATGATTTTATTTTATTTTTTTATTTGCATTGTAACAATTTTTATGATGAGTAAGCACCTTTGATCTATTTCTAATAGACTGCATTCTTAAAGGTGGTTTTCATTAGTACAGTAAAATGACTTAAATTTCTATTTAATCTAAACCAGTATAAAGGCAGTACAACAAATAATACCATGACATATTAAATTAAGCTATTATGTATTTTACATTTTTGTAAAGGGAATTCGTTTTTTTTAATTTTTATTAAAGTAAGAATAATTGGGAATCTGGGGGCTATTATATTTATTTTATAATGTCATGAAATGTCATGCTATGATGCTAAATTTGAATGTTTCTTAAAATAGGCTGTTTTTATTCTTGTAATACATCATTTTTGATTGTTAGGTGAAATGGGGCCTACACGTGTTGATGAGTTTAGTGAAATTCATGTGTGATGCCATGTAATGATTTGAATGCATTGCATATTGAATTGAAGAATTTGTGTTTACTGAATGTTTTCTCTGAGCGCGCTGCATGCAAACACACATCATGTGTGCATGAACTCAAACTCAAACTTGCAGCTGTGAAATACTTCAACAAATGAGCTTAAAGTAGCTCAGACCTGTTGCATCACATACTGAAAAGAAGCCTTTTGTGTTGTTTTACCGAGAACATTCACATTCTCATGCTAATTCTGAAACCGTCCGACCGTTTGCAATTGAGAAGCTTAAAGACTGAAATATTGCGGGTGTCTTCACCCTTCAGCTTGTTCCTCCCATATTTTCCTCTTTTTTTTTAATCTGCTATCTCTCTCTATCTATATTCGATCTGCTAATATCCGTTCTGTGCACTCAATCTGAGCGCTCTCTTCTCTCTATCATTGCTAGACACACGTTTTTCAAATATTGCTTAGTGAACCTTTAATTATGCACCTTGTAATGCATTGCACAATCTCATGAATAATTGTAACCGCAGTTAATACATGATAACACTTACCAATTCATTATTACACTATGCATTTTAAATTTGGTTATAATTATTTATGACAAGATATAATGTATTACAACACACATTATGAACAATTATAATGCATTATAGCCTTTAATAACCCTGCATTATACATAAGGGCTTTAAGTAGTGTTAATGAACATCATATTTCAGCTAGTTGTCATTTTTTCATTTTAATTTAGGTTAACTTTTAACTAGAACTAAAACTGAAAAAAAAATAAAATAAAGACAACAACATTAATTTCCAGCAATATTGTCGACTTGATTGCACAGATACTAAATCAATGATGAACTGCCTTTAACTGAAAATTTTGTGTTTACTATTATCCTTTTGCATTATCGACACACTATTTTCCTGTTTAACACTCTGTATTGTGTCAAAGCGCTATATAAATAAAGGTGACTTGGCATTGCTAAACTGTAAGGAAAATGCACGTGTGTTTGTTGAGTTACTGGGTTAATGATGGGTTGTTTTGTGTGTGTAGAGTTCATAGAGGGCGTCTCTCAGTTCAGTGTGAAGGGCGATAAGGAGCAGAAACTGCGCTGTGAGTACAACACACTTCACCTCTGCTCTCACATCACACAGCATTCGACTCTTAGTCATCGTTCGCCGTTTTCCTGGATCCAGTCGCTTTTAGGATCTATGACATGGACAAGGACGGCTACATTTCCAACGGAGAGCTGTTCCAGGTGCTGAAGATGATGGTGGGCAACAATCTGAAGGACACTCAGCTGCAGCAGATAGTGGACAAGACCATCATCAACGCAGACAAGGACGGCGATGGGAGAATATCCTTCGAGGAGTTCTGTGCTGTAAGACCCTTTAAACTAAACACCAGATATTTATCTATGTTGAACAGCTTTTTTTTTTATAACTTTATTATTTTTAGAGGACATTAAATTATAGATGCACCATCTCATCGCGTCATGAGAGATATATTTGCACACTAGTTTGTAAAAGTTTGGGATTACATTAGACACATTTAAATGATCAAAGTGCAAGTAAAGGCATTCATAATGTTACAAAAGATTTCCATTTCAAATAAATGCTGTTCTTTTGAACTTTCTATTTCTCAAAGAATCCTGAAAGATAAAATGTATCAGTGTCCACAAACATATTAGGCAGCACAGCTGTTTTCAACTTTGATAATGATAATAAATGTATCAAATCAGAACATTATACTGATTTCTGAAGATCATGTGACTCTGAAGACTGGAGTAATGATGCTGAAAATACAGCTTTGATCTCAGGAATAAATTACATTTTGCAGTATATTCACATAAAACAGTTATTTTAAATTGTAATTATATTTCACAATATTACTGTTTTACTGCCTTGGTGAGCAGAAGAGACTTCTTTCAAAAACATAAATATTTATTATATTTAAATATTTAGGGAAATTCAGTCTATTATTATTTTGACTGGAAATTAAATTATAGGTGCGGTGCATATTTTAATGTTTAAACTCATGTCAGTTCACATCAGATGAAGACTCTGGTCACACGAGCAGCCTGATAAAAGCTGTTTTCCGTTTCGGTTTCTTGTTTCCGTCGTCAGGTCGTCGGAGGCCTGGATATACACAAGAAGATGGTGGTGGATGTGTGAGCGAGTCCATCTCCAGCAGATCCGCTTTCCTCTCCATCTCTGACGACCTGCTCAAGATATCCAGCAAATGCTCTCTGTGTGTATCAATGGAAGTATTTAAGCCACTTTTTGTCAAGCCAGCGTGTAAGTGTTACCGAACTGACTCCAGTCTGCTCGATAACCTGGTGTAGCACTTTATGGGCTTATGGACACTGAAAGAGCATCTCGGTTCAAGAGGAAAGAGTATTGGCTTGTCCATATTTATTTAGGTCTTTTTTTTTAAATATTTATTTGGTTTCGTCTTTTTTAAGATATGATATAATAGTATACGTAGGTATGACGTGCCAAGCAGAACTTGCAGAACAAAGCGCTCGCCACCATCCTGTGCAGAAGCTTGTTCGACCGCATGACGTAAAGAAGCAACGTTGGCTTCCTTCTGTTACACTTTGTGATATTACACTATTTATATCATTCTAGCATTTAACCATGTTTAATAAGTGTTTTGTATCAACCGTGATATAATGTTTATATTGTTATACAGTCCAGTAGATAATTACCAAGACACAAATGATTTGGTTTGCTTCACTAACACCAATATCTCCGTCTAAATGACCATCGCAGATGGAGCGGCACACGGCGATCACAACATCTATTTGGACGCTAGTGTCACGCTTACAATCAACGTCTGAATGCATGCATGACATCAATACGCAAAGCATCTAAACGCTTGTAAAATGGAGAGCATAATCGTTCCAACAAGACTAGAGCTTCAAATCAAAAACTCTGAATGTTTGCATGCATGACAGGAGCTGCAGCGTAACCAAATTCATCTCTGATCTCTGCATATGGATATTATACGTCAGTAATAATGCCAGCTCTGAGGCTTCTGCTGGGCTTGCTTTGACTAGTTCCTCCTTGCATGATTACGTTCAACTATTCCAATGGTTTACTGTGAACTCTATATCCCATATCAAAAGAACCATGACATGCATTGCATAAGTTGCCAAATCAGATTCAAACAGACGTATATTGTTTTCAGATTCGGCTCGCATCATTTGTCCATTTGTTTTCGTAAATGCAGATTTAACAAGTTACTCGCGCTTCAAGAAAATGGGTTTGGCTGCAGCTTTTGGTGAATGAAAGCGTGTCTCATACGAAGACACATGAAGCTCGTCAGTTATGGGATGTCTATTCTGCATGCTGCATCAAATCAACTATTATGGGATATATGGACTGCTTGATACAATAAACATGTCAAACTTGACTTATTGGATCCACACGCGTCTGATTTCAATTCATGAAGTGTTTATTATGTGAAGCTCCACTGCTCAGTCACTGTATCGTCACGCTAATACGGCACTAATAATGTAAACGGTTATTTCCGCATCAGTCCGTGAGCTGTGTGTTAAAACCTCTCGGCTGCGCGGCTCGCCACCGCCCGGATGTTGCCATACACCTTTGATGGAGGACTTCCTGTGAAAGTTACATGAAGCAGAAATATTTCCTCTTATTTTGGCTAGTTCTTCATTCAGATGCATACATTAGAAATGTAATTTTCACTAACCGAGAATCAGGTTGCATATCGCTGTTCGTGCCATTTTGATGTTCTGGAAAGATCCCAAAATATGAACCTTCCTGTATAGAGAAAAACAAATATAAATGAAAATCAACTGTGCATTCAGTCACATAAAGTCGTGGTCACTATATATCAAAAAACTTAACTTATGGCTTGGTAGCTCTGCGTTTCTGTTGCACTTATTTTTAATATTAAAAAAAAATTTGAAATGTAATGACACCTGTACATTTTTGGCTAAATAAAAAGTGCATTAAAATATTGCAATATATTTCAAACCTTTAAATAAACAAATACATTGTGAATATTCATCATATCACCAGCCCCAATTAAACACGGAGACATTTTACATTTCTAGTGGGAATTCATCAATGAAAGATTGGAAGGTTTTCCACGCGAGCGGTCCTGTATGTCGAGTGCACTCACGTGTCTGCGAGCACAATCCTGGTTTTGGTCACGTTCTCAATGGTGAACTTGGTTTTTCCTCCTTTCCCTGCTATCCTGCCGATGGCTCTGGATAAGTGATCTCCTTTCAGAGGTTTAACTGCAAACACACGCACAGAAACATCAGCGCCTGGACAAAACTCACTCTTGTGAAGTGGCTGAGGTTAAAGACTCACCGTCTGTGACTTCAAACGTTTCCAGAAACAGCTCGTCTAATCTGATCAGAGCCAGAGCATCCTGTGCAGTGACACACATTATGACATTACTGCACCATCTCTGAATAATGAGACCATATAAGAATAATAGTAAACTACTGAAAGAAAGGGCTGGGTAATATAACAAAATAAAATACATATATATATATATAATTATTTTTTCAGTTTTCTGATGACAGTCAATGTATCTTTACATTTATGCACACTAATTTGTAAAGGTTTGGGATTATTGGGGGTACTTTTATTCATCAAAGACTCATTTAAATGATCAAAAGTGACATTATAGACATTATTCTACTTCAAATAAATGCTGTTCTTTTGAACATTCTGTCCATCAAAGAATCCTGAAAAATAAAATGCATCACCGTTTCCACAAGAATATTGGGCAGTTTTCAACATTGATAATAATCAGAAATAGGGATGCACGATATTGGATTTTTGCCGATATGCCGATATTT